TCGCATAGCTCTGATGTCATCATTGTGCCGTCAGTGCTCTTTCCTCTCTATCTATCTACGACAGTAGGATTCACACACCAAGCCAAGGACCTGAATCTTTTATTAGGATGCTAGTAAACCAGGTTGTACTCTTTCCAATTGCAAGTTGGATAGAACCTGCAATTAAGTGCACATGCATATATGGATTCTAGTTCAATTCGTATGTATGTTTGTATGTGCATGCTTACGACTTTGACTAAAACTAGTTAATTCATTGTTCTACCTTGAAGGTGACCGGTCCCTAGTTGCGCGCTTTGGTTGGTCCTGCTAATTTCAGTTCCTATGATTTTTAATCTTCGTTTTCTGTTTTCCCCAGCTACCAAGACTCTGAGTTTGTGGTGATGGCAGCTGACACGGAGCCGATCGAAATCTTCCCCCACCCCTTGTTGCTCCCTGATGATAACAAGGTAGAAATTCTCTCTGTATGCTGCATCATATATAGTACTGATAATTAGTTTGTATGTCATTGCTTGAGTGATATGGTTAGGCCGACGACTATCAAGCTCATAATTATGTATGATGTGTTAAAGATTAACAGAATATATGCTATGACTTGGTTGCTGACTAACTAGTATCTTGCTCATCTGTAACGTGTCTGTTGTATGCTTGCCTTTCTTTGGCCTGCTATTTTTATTTATTAAATGAAAGGACATTCTGCTTGGCAGTGGGCGGTTTTGCTCAAAAATAAGTAAATAAATTGTATGTGCATGTTGAAATGTTAGATGTCTGTTGGTTGATGTATATGGGAAAGATGAATTGAATCATGCTGTGTACTTGTCAATTCTAGCTTATATTGGTGTTTTGTGATCCTAAAAAATTATTGAATCCTGCCGTGTACTTGTCAATCTGACGGTGTATTCATATTGTGTCTCTGTTTTCTTGTATGAACGAGTTATCTCATTTTAACTAGCTGAAGAACAAAAAGCATGGTACTAGCTCAATTTGTGTTATCATTCTAAATAAGTTTCCTTTATTTGAATGGTCTGTTCATAATATATTGGCCCCATTTTTTCTGATTCTTCTCTGCTGATTCATGCAATAGGGCGACCGAGGAAGGCATGTTGCCGTTTTGTTTGTTCCCAGCCCTGATTATGATCATCCAGCGAGTCCAGCATGTTGTTCATTTGACTATGGTCCTCCAAAGAGTCTGGCATGTTGTCATTTTCTTGTAAAGCACTATTGTATTACACTTGTAGAGCTTGTAAAGTACTATTTTACACATGGTCATATGTATTTGCACGAATAGACGAATAGAGCTTGTTACTGTGATTGACATTGTATTACATGATTTGGTTGCTCTTATTTGAAGTATCATGTGTGATTTTTGTCTGCTGGTTGAAATATGAAGAATATGAGCCTGATAGATGGGACCCACTTACCAGAACATGACAAATGGGACCCAGTTATCAAAACCTGGCAACCGGGACCCATCTAACTAGTGGACCCATTTAATAAAAAAATGAAATTGTTTAGACAAAAAGGCCACGACCCAACAATAAAAAAGGCTGCAAATGTTGGGCTTGTCCCATGAAGCCGATCAAAAATTGCCAGAAAAAATATAAAAATGTTGAATTGTTGGGCTTGGCCCAAGTAAAACGTCAAACTGGACCAGGCTGATTCTAATTAACAACCTTTTCATTTGGTCGCAATTTTGCAATGTCAGCTTGCCACGTCGGATCCGACGTGGCCTGGGCGGACAACCAACGACCAAAACAAATGGTCATTGATTCAACGACCTTATCACAGAGAAGGTCGTTAATTTTCATTAAAGGCGGTCAGCTTTTTACCATCTGTTTTTGGTCATAAAAAGGTCGCAATGAAAAACAATGACCATTCAGTGACCAATAGTGACGGTCACAAGTTGACATATTTCTTGTAGTGTACTACCGGACCAAGTACTGGTCCAACTACTGCCAGAGGAGTGATTCCCTTTGGTTTGGCAGCGGTGCTCGGGCGGTGGCCTAGTAGTTGTTCCGGTTATTTTCATAATAACTGGTACAACCGGGCAACCGAGCAGTTCTACCACTTTGTTCGCCCTGGCCACCCATGTCATTGGGACGCAGCTACCAGTTTGCTGCCTGGAGCGGTTGTACCACTCTAGTGTTTTCTATACTATAACAATTGAATTTGTGGGGGCCTATTTAAGGGGGTCTTCTTACCCAATGGTCCTCACATTTTTGGAGCATGCCTTCTCCTCCATTGTTGACCTCCAAAAGCTTTGCCTTCTTTCCATTCCTCCCATGAATCTTGCATCTTTTTGAGGGAGAAGAGAGAGGAGACCTAGATCTACATTTCAACCAATCCATATCTCCTCTAAGTGAGGGGAACCTTGTGGATCTAGATCTTGGAGTTCTTTGTGGTCTCCTCCTTTGTTCTTCCTCTCATATTCCTACATAGCATTACTTGCTGTGGTGGAATATGGGAGAGAATGATTTGAGCACTTTGTGTGTTCTTGCCATTGCATTTCTTGCATATGTTTGAGTTCTCCACGAGAATTCGTGGGAGTGAAAGTTGAGAATCTTATTACTCTTGGGTTCTTGGTAACCTAGAGCTTATTAATCTTGGGTGCTTGGGCGCCTAGAGGTTGGTGTTGTGGGGAATCTCAGTCATTGTGGTGTAAAGCTTCAGGAGCCTCCAATTAGTTGTGGAGATTGCTCTAGGCAATTTGTATGGGTTTAGTGATCGCCCTCAAGGGTATCCAATTGTACGGATTCGGTGACCGCCCTCAAGGGTCCCTTAGTGGAGTAACGACACCTTGCATTGTGTGAGGGCGCGAGGAGAATATAGTGAGCCATTGTGGCGCTTGTGATCATTGTGCCTCCACATCGCTTTGTCGAAGATTAGCATCCTCAAGGGTGTGAACTTCAGGATACATTCTCGTCTCCGTGTGCCTCGGTTATCTCTTACCTGAGCCCTTTACTTATGCACTTACTTTGTGATAGCATTCGTGCTTTAAGTTATATATCTTGATATCACATAGTTGTTTATCTTGTTTACCATAAGTTGTTGGTGCACATAGTTGAGCTAAGTTTTATTTAGGTTTTGTGCTTGATAAATTAAATGCCAGTTGTATTCCGTATCCGTTCAAGCCTAAATCGTAATTGTTTTAAAATGGCAATTCACCCCCTCTTGGCGACATCCACGTCCTTTTAGTAATGCAGTAATCATGACCGAGTAGCTTCCATCACTTAATCTTTCTAGGAGGCACCATTTAAAAGAAGTAACTTACGTAAGTAGATAACAATAGACACCAATAAATATATAGTTAAGTAAGAGAAATAAATGAAATCTATAAATATTTCTTTATTAAATCATATCTAAACACTTGCTTAATCACTATATATGATGGAAGCACCATGCATATCAGCCATCTCGGGAGTCTTTTTAGGGAGTCCAAGTTCCTGCTCCAAATGGGTTTCATCGACTTTAAAGTTATATTTGACCGCTGTGAATGTAACAAACCTGTCCATGTTGGCTTGTCATGGTTCTAGGTGTGAATTAGGAGGTGGCCGCATATGGCTCACTGACCTACCGCCTGATGCATTATGTGTTGTGGCCGACGATTTAGTAGCCACTAGTTGATGATATGTTTGGTGTTCCTGTCCAAAAAAAAATAGTGCAAGGACAAAAAATATCTAGATGGGAAAAACGATGAGGATGTAAAGAATGATTGAATATTTATTTCTTCCTTGGTCCAAAGCGTCAGTTTTTTGGCATTGGTGATTGAGGACCGAATTTCTTCCTAGCACCTCCAACTCATTATGTGGACTAGCGACAACTCTCGCAACTTCATCTGCGCCTCCAACTCATTCGACTCAACTACGTGCCTATATTTCCAAATATGTCCTTCCATGTCTCCTTCCATTAATATACTAATTAAAGACTGCCGATAAAATTTCATGTTAATTGGAGAAATATGAATTATTTGAACGATCAATTCAAGTTAGAATAGCATAGTTGAACTTCAGGGGAATTGGCTCAACTCACATGGTAAAAAGAATGAAAGAAAAACAATATCCAATATTTCTTTATGAAAAGACCCATTCCTATAAATGCCCATAACTCCATGTACCAGTTGCTTCTTTTGGCCATCTCGTCCGTTAAGTATATATTCTCCCATGTGTGCGTCCCAACCCTTGGTCTTGAGAGCAAGAAGAACACGAACCACACTTTCATGTTGGTGTTTACATCTTGTTCATAACATATATATATTCTAGGCTTTTAGTGAATTCAAGATTCAAATCGAGTATACAACCATATTATAAAGAGTGGCACAAGCAAAGTACATTGGTCCAAACTCCATGAACAAATCCTAAGCCAAAGGCCTCGAAAATCCACTCCCTAGCCATTCCTTTGTATGAGTTTATCTAAGCTCCGATACTTCCACAGATTATCCTCTAGTACTAATGAGACACATGGGGTTATTAATAGTCACAGAACAAACCTAGTTTCAACAGTTCGGATCCGTTTTTTTGTTCCGGGATAACCGAGCCATTTCACTTTGAAACATACATAGATAATTAGATATTTCATTGATTCAAAAGTGTCACTAGAAGTTCGCTTGCTAAACTGAGGCCATTTTTCAAGACAAGTTTTAGGTGGAGTCACTCTCGGAACTCCCATTGAACATTGACCAAGTACTTCTTCCTGTGGCAACAAAAAATTGTGTTTTTGTTACAGATGGCAACGTCGTCCCTGTGGGTCTCCCATTTTGTTCCTGGCGGCAGCCACAGGGTGATAGAAGTGAAATTTCTGGGATCATGTTTATAGTTTCGTGATTTAATAAAAACAATATTTAGGGAAAAAATGATGAAACAGTGTATGGCCCACTTTACACGTTTTGGAACTGCAAGGCCCATTGAATTCCTATGGTGCAGATCGATGCGAATGCGACGCTCAGACACGTTTAGCACAGAGGCCGCAAGAAAACGGAAGCAGCAGCAGCTGCAGCGCGACCACGAATGGCGTCGACCTCGAGCTTGGATTTGGGAAAGACCGTGCCGCCGGCTGGCTTCCTTCTCCACCGCCGCGTCGCCGTCCTCAGCGCCCCTGTTCTCTGGGGGAGGAGCGCGAGCGGGCGGTGCGGCCTCGCCATCTCCGTTTCGTCCTCCAGTGGTAGGTCTGCCTTTACCTGTTCCCCCTTCTTGTATTTCTCTATGGAATTGTTTGAGATCTTAGAGTTCAGTTCAACCATAGTAAGATGAGGTTGGAACCTGCGAGGAGCTGAATCTTAGTATCACCGCTCTTACCGATTTCATCGTCCATTCTGAAGCCATAGCGGTTCTAATCCGATAAGATTTAATTCCAACTTCTTCGCTAATTATCCTTAGCTGGCAAAATTAGAGATCCAATTGGACGTTGTTGAGATCAATCATGGTGTTGAATATACATGACAGCATAGTTTCCTTACGCAATACTCAGTTGCAAACTTGTAATTTCAGAAGTCTATTTCTGATGTTTAAGTTCAGACTGCGCGCTTGAACATACACTGAAGTAACAATGCTCATATTTAACGGTGTAGGTGCAGCTGGGCTCTCCCCACTGAGTGACTCGGAGAAGAAAGGCCCTGTGGTGATGGAGATCCCGCTGGAAGATATCCGGAGGCTCGTAATGCGAACACGTGCTAATGATTCTGACAAGGTGCAGGAACTCATGGACAACATCCGTGTCATCGGCCTCCAAGTACCTTTGGGCATCCTTTCCTTTAACATTAATTTTTCCAAAATTATTTTCTTTTAGCTTATAAGATAAATTATGTCAGAACTGGAATTTTCTTATGTGGAATGAGTACATACAAATAAAGTTATACAGTAGCTAATACATGGCCGACCACTGCTACTGAATTCAGTGATCTCCACACAATTGTCTGAGGACGTTTGTGCTATGGTTGATTGAGATTCACTTGATTGAGTATGCACGTCAATATTCAAGTTGGGTTGTTCACATGCATGTTCTGCGTACAGCGTCACAAAGTACATATGCATTTTTTGTTCACGAGATCCGGCACTGTTATGTCTAGAATAAGTTTTCCCAAGCTCATTTTGACATGTGAAGTCTATTCACCTGCGCTCCTCTGAATCAGTCTTAGCTCAAAGGAAGTGTGCCCTTTATGCCTGGATCAGGAGCTTTATAATTTCAACAGAGGCCTTATTATGTCTAAGATTGGATCTAATCTAGGTCTAAACTAGGGCTTCACTTCTGTTGTCTTGGCCATCGAAGTAGAAGGTGCCCCTTCTGGTTCCGGCACACGGGTATTTATACCCGGTCTTGAGTCGGTTGGATGCGTTCCTTTCCTGGTCTCCTGGTTGCGAACGCCTTGAGCCTTCCAATCTTGATATCTGAATGGTGGACGTGCCGGCCTCTTTCCCGTGTGACTGGTGAACTCCCTTTCACCTGAGGCCTTGGCATTAAGGAAGGAGGCGCCGTTATAGATGTTCTCTTCAGCATAAAAGTTTTCCCCTTATAGAGGTAAGATGAAGGGTTTGAGCGACTGTGAAGAGGGCCTGGCATGATGCCGTATGGAGAATTCCAACTTCCCGCCGGCATGAACCAGGGCCGGTGAGTTGAGATTCCACCCATTAACGACCAACATCACAATGATGAGATCAAAGCAATGCATTAATCAAGCTCGAGTAGCTCCCATCTCTAGCTCAACCTCTCTAGGAGGCACTTTTTAAAAGAAGTAACTCAAATTAGTAGATAATGGTAGACAACAATAAGTCTATATTTCAGTAAGAAAAAGAATACTAAACCTGTAAATCTGTATCTATTAATTCATATCGGAACACTTGCTGAAGCATACATGACAGAAGCAACATGCTCGCATAAAAACAACGCAAAGACAAAAAAAAGACCTAATTGGGGAAAACGACAAGGACGTAACAAATGATTGAGTGTGTCTTTCTTCCTTAGCACAAAGCACCTGTTTTTGTGGAATTGCTGATTGATGACTTAATTGCTTCTATGGCACCTCCACCTCATTATCTTGGACTAGCGGCATCTCCCACTTTGCCATCTCAGCCTCCTACTCATTCTTCTCAACTGTCCGTACTTCCAAATATGTCCTTCCATGTCTCCACCTATTAGTATACTGATTACTGACTCCCCATAAATCCTCATGTTAATGGGAGAAAATACGAGAAATATGAGACAATGGTCCAATCTACAATGGCGCAAATGAAGTTCAGGGGGACTGGATCAACTCCTGTAGCCAAAAGGAAAGAAAAACACTATCCAATGTTTCTCTATGAAATAACCCATTCCGATAAATGTTTATCTACTAATTTCTTCTTTTGGCCGTCTCTGCCATTTCATATAGGTCTCTAGAGCCTACGTCCCAACCTAGGACTCTACAGCAAGAAGAACGTAACATGAAAATACCTCAATAAATGCCAATCGTGCCCCTGATCTCTTCATCCTCCATTCTCAGAGAAACAAACTTAATATTGTGGAGAGTGTTGGGATTTAAAATGATGGTGAGGGTAAGGTTTTTATAACTGATTGGTTTCTCAGTTTGACTCCCTAGTGACAAACTGCGAACTATAGTGACGGTGAAATATGAAATCCTTAATTTTAATTTATATCAAATATATAGACTCTAACATCATATCTATATATAGGCATTACATTGCCGCAACATAGCAACCCCACACAATATTAATTACTAGTGGCTCTTGGACGAAAAACGGGAAGAGCCAACATGCATGCTTTAGATAAACTAGTGTTAGTATAGTGGGATCTGACTATCATGTAGAAGGTCTGATTTTCAAGTAATTCAGCAACTGAATCTTATTTGATTTAGTCAACCAATATTTAACTTTTTGCTAAGATTCTTGTGCTTTTCATGGGTTGATTGCAATCTTGTAATGTAGGCAAATTATGATACAACAGTCAGGACCACGTATGGAGGTAACATGTGCGCTTTCGTATGGTAATTCAACAACAATATATAGTCTTACAAAATAAGGAAGATGACAAACACTTCTTTTTAGCATGACAAACACTATTAAGATGATGAGACTCTCGAAGGTGAAATATTATATATATATATATATATATATATATATATATATATATATATATATATATATATAGAAACAGAACTATTTATTCACAACACACATGCCGGCCATAATGTCTTGTTGCCATCTTTAGGAGGACAGTCCGTTTATTCATGGGACACATGCCTGGCTAGCATTCCAAACATGGCCCAAGCCTACGATCTACTACATCTTGTTCATACATTGCCAAGATAAAAATAAGCTGACCCTTGTTGGCCATCAGGCACATAGTTTCCTACCCCGTCCATTACAGCTGCAGTAGAACCCATCATCTGCTGCTCACTCCACATTGGCTGCTGACCCACTTGTTGATTATATATGGAAGGGGAGCACTGAGCTAGGTTGTTCATGACTGCGAACGAGCTCGTCGGAGCCTGCAACCTAAAGCTTGGGTCATTGTTGAGGCCAGTAAAAGAAAGGGTTTGCCGAGGGGCAGAACTATTATTTGCTGCCAATAGCTCGTTGTCATGGAGCGTGACATCATTGATGCTGTAACGCTTTGTCCCTGACGATGCCTTTTTCTGTATTCTCTTGAAAAACTTTTGTGCATGGCTTGAAACTTGGACAGGGGTCTTAGTGGTGACGAAGTGCTTGGATATGTTTTTCCAGTCGCCACGGCCATAGACTTCCAGCCCATAAAGAAATGACCTGTGGACATAATGTTTAAAAGAATTGTTAGGTTAAATTGTTTACTGAAAGATGAATTGTGCAGTTGTTTTATTGAAGCAACAAATATAGATTGAAGCAAAGTACCAATTTGACAGGTTCGAACCACTAAAGCAACAGATGCTTATTTTTGTTTATTTACGGCACTGGATAGAATATATGTATACCAGAAATCCATAAGTGAATGAACATTTTGTAACATATTGACAACTGAAACTATTACAATTTGAAAATTATGATACCTCTATTTTCCTATAGTGAAACAACAATCAGTACAGGTCATTGATCTGTTTGATTTCGACAAGACGTACCATATTGGAATTTAATGGCTTATTTCACTGTCTTTCTATTTTTTAATCAAGGTCCAATCACATAAACTTTTTAAGCCAGAAAGAAAAGTAAGAAAGAAAGTTCATCAATATCTAATTTGCAGGGATTAGTATTTATCAAAAATGTAAATTGTAAACGTCCAGATATACTTTTAGTAAAGTGCAATATCATTGCAAATTTAACATACCTACCGCATAAAATTAATTCGTAGACATGCTTAATTATCATATGTTGATTTTAAATAAAGAACAACTAAAACTACATGACAAGTAAGAATATAGGAATCGACTAACTTGTGTTCCTCTTTGGTCCAAAACTTTCGTTGATGTGCGGCAACAACTGGTCGATCAGTGGAAGTATTGTTCTCCAAGACCACCATCTTGTTCTTGTCTACCATCATCGGAGCCTCCTCCGTGTTCCTGATTCTTGTATCCTCGAGTGCCCAACGAAATGAAAATCCATTATCATCCATGGTGGTATCCTCGTCCTCTTGTACCTCAAAGTTTTCATTAACAAGGCCACCCATGCTGTAAATGGAAATTGACATTGTCCATGTGTACATTTAGTAAAGTACAATATCATCACAAACATAAGCTACTGATCTCACATAATAAATTTGCACAACATTCTTAGTTATTACATGTTCACTGAAAACAAACAACAATTAAAACTTCATGGCAAAGGAGAGTATGCAACCATGGACAAACCTTGGTTCCCCGTCGGTCCAAAAACCCCATTGATGTGGGGCACCAATTGGTTGATCTATGGAAATATTGTTCTCCAACACCACCATCTTGTTGTCTGGCATCAGCGGTGCCTCACCCGTCACCGTGATCCCAGTATCCTCCATTGCACAACCAAAGGACAATCCATTATTGTCCATGATTGTTGCCTCCTCCTCTCGTGCCCCAAAGTTTTCATTCGGATGGTCACCCATGGTGTAGATATCGTGTGTGCTGCTAGCACCATTCTCCTTCGGTAGCTCATAGTTACCGTTGACAGGGTCACAAAAGGTGAAAATGTTTTGTGGGCTACCACCAGTAACATGGGTCCCCTCCCTCCACTCGGTCATATGCATTCCCACGGTGAGATCAACATAAAGATTTGTTACCTGTTTCTTGGTCTTTGAAGGGAACAATGCATGGAGAGAATTCACGATGTAGTTGTGCTTCTTGTTCTTCTCATCGTTGTCGTCGTACATGATTTTGTTGGTGTTGAGCCTAGCAATGAGTGAGCGTGCCTCCTCTACCTCAGATGAGGTCCACCCCTGGTTGACTGTTGGATCCATGAGAGAGTGGGTAGTTGAACGCAGAATTATGAGGAGTATGAACTATGAAGATGGGTTATAGCTTGGGGATGGAGACTGGGGAGTCAAATAGTGTATTTATAGCCCTCTTGTGTGCAGTCCTACTTTCGCTAATTAATTTGGCACATTGATAGTTTGTCGGTCCATACAAAAGTAGATTGAACTTAAGATAATTCTTATGACCCACTGAGGAACATGCCAAACTATTTTAAGTTGACCTCGATATTGTGTCTTTCTTTGAGAAAAATCTTTTGTGTTTTTCCAATGCGAATAATTGCCGCGGACCTCCAGATATACGCAAGAAGATTGCTAGAAACAACACACGCAGGCCTATTGAGTATTGATCAATTTCGGTCTAGATAGATAGAACACACATC